TTTTTCCTACCCACGAGGCCAGGGGCCGCAGAGGTGTGACACCATTGGCTTCCCCACAGACGTAAGACCATCGAAACGGATCCAAAAGGAATTCGCGTTGAATCCACCACTGTGAAACAATACAGTTGGTGGTTTTGCGTGGGCTTACGGTGCCACTTGGCCATGAGAAGGGTGGACCGTCTTGCTGGACCAAAATGCTACCCCACTGTGGCGCAACGGGTTGCGTTCGGTTTTGTGTGCTCCGTCAAATGCATGGAATCGACGTTTCTGTGGTGGAATCGGTGCAACTTTCAAGGGAAGCCCAGCTGGCGCTGCTCCACTCAGGCCATCCTCCATGGCGGAACTGCTTCGACCGCTTCCAGCCACTGAGCTGGTTCAGCCGCTGCCTCAGAGGGAGCCATTTGGGACAGCGCTCTGATCTGCTAAGAGATGGAGAAACAGGAAACCATTTTCACGCGGAGAGTTGCGGGTTGCAGTTTTGGAGCCTGCTTTTTTCTGCAACTTGAGCGATCACTGATGTGTGTGTGACAGGAAGTTTTGTTGCTCATATTCTTCAGCATGGGATCCAATTTATCTACAGTGCATTCGTGAGTGTCGTAGGTCGGTGTAGGCCAACTGTGCCATTTTTTGCAGCCACCGGCCCGAGCGCAGAGTGCTGCCGCCGAGTCTTCCGGAGTTCTCACAACTCCTGTGGGGCGGATTGAGAAGCACCTCGTTGATGGGCCTTCATGGCACAGCGAAGGCGGGGACACCGTGGCGGCCGACTTCTCCTCGGCCTGGTCGGCGTCTTGGGCGCGATGCGGCTGATGGCTGAGAGGATGGAGGTCGGCTTCGCGGGTTGGAAGGTGCATCAGATGGGTCTTGGTCCTGGAGCGCTCCTGAGGCTGAGAAGGACTGAAGCTTAGGAAATTCAAAGGAAACTTGAAGAAGATTCTATAGGTGCCAATGAAGCAATATTTCCAACTGACTAAACTGCATCCTGTGAGCCTTTTTGAACACATGACTTCCATCTGAACAGCCGGAATGCTTCAGCTGGGTTCCCACTTGAGCTGCCAGAGGACGGGCGGTTCGCTGGTGCCACATGTTGTGACGGCAAAGACTGTTGCAGTGAGACTCTTGCAAGCAGTATGCGGGGTGAGATCCTTTGTGATAAGCATTGTGCTGGTCCTTCCGTGGGCATCGGTGGGGCTAAGATGGGCTAAGTAAGTTGTGCAAGTTGATTCAGGACCAACTTGATCTGATTCCCTCGGCACTTTAGCAGCGCACCACCTCCCTCCTTAGTCTCCCACCTAAAGCAATATGGACAACCCACTCAGCAGCTCCCCCCAAAACCAACACGGCAACCCACAAGCCATGGGCTCACTGTATGTATGCATCATTTGATCACCACCAAGTCGTCGCAATGCCAATGTTGGCACCACAGTTGGCGTTGGACGACTCGCTCCTGGATTCCCCTCGCTCCAGGAGTGTTTTGGTAATTGAATGTAATTGATGCTCATTGGTAAGCGTTGTGCTGGCCCTTCCGTGACATCCATGGGTCTGCACGTAGCAGCTCCCCCAAACCAAAAAAGCAATCCATATGTCGTGGGCGCATATATACTGTACACATTTTCGGCACCCACTGGCCTTGTCTCGAGGCCCGGAAGACCGCGACGCGGCCTTCATGGAGCGTTTGCGCTGCCTGGCACGGGAGGCGCTCAGCTGGAGCTGGCTCACTCCGCGGCAACGGCTGGTGTGGGCCGCGGCCATCGAGCTGGATGCGGTGCCTTTGCAGGAGGGGTGCCGCACCGGTGAGAGGGGCTGGCTTTGCAAGACCAAAAGGATTCTTGAAGACTTGAAGATTTCAAGAGATGATGTATAAGAATTGTTAGGGTTAAGTCTAACACCTCCTTTTGCATTCTGCCTTTAGCAGTGATGTAGCAGTGAAGGTGGTTTGGTTGGAAGCTTCTTCTCGTTTGGCGCCTGGCAAGGAGCTTCCACCGTGGTTTTGGGAGTGGCAGAACGTCACTCTTAGGCATCCAGGCAGGGCGAAGTCGAAGGCAAACATTCTGCCCAGGCTATGATTGAACAAGCAT